TAGAGACGGGGTTTCACCATGTTGGCCAAACTGATCTGAAAACTCCTGACCTCAGGTAAACCACCCGTCTCTACTTCTCAAAGTGCTGGGATATAGGCATGAGCCACTATGCCTGGCCCATTTTTTTTTCTTTTGAAATATCCCTGTTTTCTTTTCTTTTTCTTTTATTTATTTATTTTTTTCTTGAGATGGAGCCTTGCTCTGTCACCTAGACTAGAGTGCAGTGGCACAATCTCAGCTCACTGCAACCTCTGCCTCAGGGGTTCAAGCAATTCTCCTGCGTCAGCCTCCCAAGCAGCTGGGATTACAGGTGCTTGCCACCATGTCCGGCTAATTTTTGTATTTTTAGTAGAGACAGGGTTTCACCATGTTGGCCAGGCTAGTCTTGAACTCCTGACCTCAGGTGACCTGCCCACCTCGGCGTCCCAAAGTGCTGGAATTACAACCGTGAGCCACCATGTCCAGCCATTTTAGACTTGCAGGATACTTCTTGAAGAAAAAGGGTTCCAATATCAAATATGTTGGGGAAATAGCATATCTGGTTTTTTTGTTTGTTTTTTGAGCCATGTCTCGCTCTGTCGCCCAGGCTGGAGTGTAGTGGCTCCATCTTGGCTCACTGCAACCTCCACCTCCCAAGCTCAAGCTATTCTCATGCCTCAGCCTCCAAAGTAGCTGTGAGCACAGGCGCATGCTACCATGCCTGACTAATTTTTGTCCTTTTAGCAGAGACAGGATTTTGCCATGTTGGCCAGGCTGGTCTTGAACTCCTGGCCTCAAGTGATTCACCCATCTTGGCCTTCCAAAGTGCTGGGATTACAGGTATGAGCCACCATGGCAAGCCGCAACAATGTTATCTTATACCCTGTTGGGAAATCATAATGCTTATTAGCCTGTTGAAGTATATGATACTTCCTACAAAACAAACAAGTTTAAACATATTTAAACCAGAATTTTGAAAACATATTTATACATAGAACCAATCCTTAATAAAAGTTATTAACACCTCAATGAACACATTTTATAAAATACTGTTTTAATGTATTCTCTATTTTCTTTTCTCCTCTGACTTAGCATTGTTCACAAAAGCTCATGCAAACTGTTGAATCTCACTTTTTTTTTTTTTCAAATTTTCCTCTTCCTGAATGTTATCAGGTTCAAGGAGGTTGAAATTGCTATACTCCTATTTTTTTTTTTTAAATCTCAAATTTTAAATTTACTTTTGTCATCTCTAGCTAATTCAGAGGAAATTATAGAGGGAAATTCTGTTGACTCATCAATCCAGCAAGTAATGGGGAATGGAGGCCAGAGGGTCATCACCATAGTGACTGATGGAGTCCCTTTGGGTATCCCTACTGGAGGCATTGGCCAGCCATTTATTGTAACTATGCAAGATGGACAGCAAGGTGAGTTATCTGTTGTAGACAATTGTTTATTAAAAGAGATTTTAGATACTCCATGCCCCCCTAAAAATGAGGCATTAAGACGAATAGTGGGAGTGGGAGACGACCAGATGCAAGTTGGGGCAAAGAAGCTCTGAAAAAGAAAAGGAAACAGAACCAGGCTGGCAAAGGTAATAGCCTAATATGTATAAAATCTGTAGTAAAAACCAGTTTATCTGCTGGGAAAAAGAACAAATAATATGAACCAGTAGTTCATAGAAAAAAAATGTATCGATGGCTCTTAAAAATATGAAAATAGGCCAGGTGAGGTGGGTCACAGCTATAATCCCAGCACTTTGGGAGGCTGAGGCAGGCGGATCACTTGAGGTCAGGAGTTCAAGACCAGCCTGGCCAACATGATGAAACCCCATCTCTACTAAAAATATAAAAAGTAGCCAGGCATGGTGGCACATGCCTGTAGTCCCAGTTACTCAGGAGGCTGAAATAGAAGGATCACTTGAGCCCAGGAGGTTGAGGCTGTAGTAAGCCATGATTGTGCCACCGTATACCAGCCTGGGTGACAGAGTGAGACTCTGTCTCAAAAAAAAAAAGGAAATAAAGAAAAAGAAAATATATGTAATCCCAGCACTTTAGGAGGCCAAGGCGGGTGGATCATGAGGTCAAGAGATCAAGACCAACCTGGCCAACATGGTGAAACCACGTCTCTACTAAAAATACAAAAATTAGTTGGGCGTGGCGGCACATGCCTGTAATCCCAGGTACTTGGGAGGCTGAGTCAGGAGAATCACTTGAACCCAGGAGGCAGAGGTTGCAGTGAGCCAAGATTACGCCACTGCACTTCAACCTGACGACACAG